ATTCAACTTATTAAAAAAAAAAAAAGGTATCCCAACTTACACTTAGCAAACAAATAATCTAAGAGCATACATTTTGTTATTTTAAACAAAAAATAAAATGAGAGAAGAAAAAAAAGGCAATGTTAATATTTTGGGTCTGAATTAGATTCAGTTGGGTACACATTTTATATTTGGGGAAATAAATTGTCTCTGAAAGATTTCCTTGGGTATACGTAATAACTTTAGAATTGTGTATAGGGACTTTCGATGTTCTTTAAAAATCCATGGACACGAAAACAACAATTGTGTACAGAGATCAGTTCGGACATGCTTTCTACCCCGAAGAATATTAATCCGAGAGCCCGTCCGAAATATAAAGTCTTACTTACAGCCCGAGATATACGTCGGATAAAAGCCAAATTTTGTGGTCTGGTCTTGCCTCTCGGACTTAGAATGCTCAAATGTCAAAACAAGGAAATTAGTAAATTTAAACCTTTTTATCACTAACCTGTAAAAGAAACAGTGAAGAGAATAACTGAACCAACTGAAACTCCAAGATAAAAATAAAATAAAAATCTTCTAGACTGACAAAGTAGAAGCACTGTACAGAGGTAGCAGATCGAAGTAATTTCATATACCTTATAAATTTTACATTTTTGTTACTGAACCAAACCTTTGTTTATAAGTCGTAAAAAAGTTTAAGAATCATGAATCCGTCTCATCGCTCCAGACGATATATCTTTGTTTGCTTCAAATTCCTCGAACAATTTTAACAACTAGTTATCGTACGCTAATTAATTAAGATTTTGAATATTTTACGACGAAGAGAAAATTCCATCTAACCGTCGTTCTTTCTAACGCTTATCATTCTATCTCTAAGGAAAGAAGTTTTTAATTAAGAAAAAAAAAATCAATATAACTTGAATTGTTTTAAAATACATTTTTTTATGCGTGCAGTTAGTAGTTGTAGTTAGTGCTAGTACTAGTTAGATACCACAGCTAAGTTCTGAACTATAAAGGAAGTCACCAAAAAAAAATTTTTTTTTTAAATAAAAGGCATTTATCTTTAGAGGTCATTAAATGAGAAATTTGGGTCTGTTAACAAACCCTTCACTAAATTTTTTATCATTAAAATGGAGTCTTCACAAAAATATCAAGCTTAACAATATAATTTATTTTGTTTAAAAACATACGCAAATTTTTATCACATTTAACATAACATAAACATATTTGTTTAAAACAATTTAAATCAAAATATTTCAGGTTTTGGAAAAGTGTAAATGTGAACTTTTAGCTATGATGGAATCGGTGGTGAAAAATAGAAAGTCGACCACTAGAACAGCGGTTTCCAAAAGGCGTTCCACGGAACCCTTTCGTTCCGTGTAAGGATCAGAATTATTATTGGAAATTGGTGAAGGTGAAAATTAGAAAGTCGACCACTAGAACAGTGGTTCCTAAAAGGTGTTCTCCGGAACCCTAGAGTTCAGTGTAAGGATCAGAAAGGATTCAATAGTTAAGATTATTTTTAAACCTAAAAGCTCTACAACTGTTTCTCATCGAGTAGATTACTAAACACAATATAAAATACATTTTAATTACTATAATCAAATTCATCTTAAGAGCATTTGATTTTTTAAACCGAAATAACTACATATAGGTAAAAAAAATTTAGGTTATGAACTTTAAAAATTAAAAGATTAGAAAGATTATATACTTTGATTAATACTGAATCAACATCTAGCATTTTAATTAATTACGGCTACATTTTTTAACTGACAGAAAAATTTTAAAATAGTAACAAATTTGTTTAATCAGCAAAATTTTAAAAAAAATCATAGTTTTAAAATTTGTAAACATTTTTATCTCTTCCAATATTGTTCTTTGTATCTAAGTTCATTTTAAAACATTAAGTGCTGTTCTAGCATCTATTGAATATAAATTTACCTTGTTGGATAATTAATGATTATTGCCACTGAATGATGGTAGACATTCTACAACTTTTATTAATTCATAAACTGTTTCTATTAGGATTTCTTTACATCATAATTTATTTTTTTTAAATTCCACCATTTAACACTCAAATCAATCAAGAAAAAAAAATTCTCTGTTCACTATTATACACAATATATTAAGAGGAAACCCACAATCATTGTGCTCTTGTATGAGCTATATTAGGCTAACTATAGTTTTAATTGGTGGAAAAACTTAAAAGAATTAAGGAACAGCTTAACCTACTTAAAAAAATAATGTTATAGTAAATGAAACAGTTTAGTATAGCAGAAATATCCTTAAATATCCCATAGTATGCACCTTAAAAGGTAACCACTTTTTAAAAGACAAAAATAAGAAATAAAATTGCATGTATTTTCCCAGTTAGTAAGGAAAAACTCAAAATTCTCTGCCTTTTCTGCTATTTTAGGTAATTTTTAAATTCCCTATATAATCCAAGTTTTCCTTATTCTCCCTGAGGAGTATACGTATATGCTTTCAAAACATGAAAAAATAGAAGTTCTATACATTCAGGTAAAGAAAAACAAATAAAAAAATTATTATTTTAAACATACGTCCTACACAAATTTGATTTTACAAAATAATGATAAGGATTTTTATAAAAGGACAATTTTAGCATGTTTTGATATTGTAATAATCTAGTTTCAACTGATTTGATTTTAAAAAGCAGATGACTTTATAATCCTGTGATTTTATCAGTGAAGGTCGTTGAGTTCATTTATATCATATATTCTTTAAGAGCAAATAAAATTAATTTTTGATCGAACAAATTTAGAAAGGGCAAATAAATCAATTTTGTCCTTTCTTCCAATTCTTAATTTTAAAAAAATAACTATGCATAAATTATGTCTTCTAAAATAACTTAATATCTTACCATGATAGATAAGAATTTCCATCTTTAAAATATAAACTTTTTTAGCCACTACCCATGCAATCTGAAACTGGCAAACTAAATATTAATTTTTTTTCACTTGCAAACCTTAAATTAAAATAATAGAAGAGATAAAAATAAATTTCGCTTTCTATATTCATGTAATTTTTCCAGTCTAGCTAGACAAAAGTAGTCCAAAAAAATTTTTTTTAATAATAATAGAAAATCCTGGAACATTAATAGCATGAAATAGCTGTAATACAATGAAATATAAGAGTATATTGTGGCCAGGGTTGGGTTTTTGACGTCAAAAAGTAGTTNAATATTTATTTATTTTTCACTTGCAAACCATAAATTAAAATAATAAAAAAGATAAAAATAAATTTCGCTTTCTATATTCATGTAATTTTTCCAGTCTAACTAGACAAAAGTAGTCCAAAAAATTTTTATTTAATAATAATAGAAAATCCAGGAACATTAATAGCATGAAATAGTTATAATACAATGAAATATAAGAGTATAATGTGGCCACAAGACAATTATTTTAAATATTAATTTAGAATATTAATTTTTATTATCTTTAAAAACAATTTAAATTAAAAAAATATTTTAATTATAAGAAGGAAAAAACAATAGATAATATTAGTTTCTATTGAAAGAAGATTCTTTTTTCTTTCCCTTCTACTATTGAAAGGACAAGCAAAAAAAAATTTTAAATACCTACAGTAGACAAGTTTGAAATACAACAAAATAAATATATGAGAAAGTGGTAAAGATCACAATAAAATAAGACTTATTAAATTATGAAAACTGTGTTCAATTATTAATATTATCACTTATTCCTCAAAACAATTTTATTAAATCCATTATGAACAGTAGAGTCGAAGCCAAACAAATTATATTAAACAAATAGTTAGAAGTCAGATTCTTAAAGTAATAAGACTTTGATTTTACAACAATATAGACAAATATTTATAATTATTTTAGCAAAAATTTTACTTAATCGAATAGTATGACAATTATTAATATTACTTATCACTAACATAATGTAAATTTTTTCATCATAAATTTGATTGAACTTCTGAAAAAGATAAAACAAAAAATTATAGGAAAAACGGCATTAATACATTATTAGTTATATTTGTGTTCAAATCAGAAATGAACTTGATTTAGCTAACTTTTAAAGTTAACTAAAAAAGATAAATAAATAAACTTAATGTAACAATCTTTCTTTAAATCAGATATTTAAATTATAAATAGGAGATACTGATATACAAATCCTCCTCTTTTTGTCTTCCAGTAACAGTAAATAAATAACAGTAGTTTATACAAATATATACTTTCTTAAATTTATTCCTCCGATCTTTATCTTATAAAATATAATTCCTCCTTAAATAAAATCATTCTAGTTGTACATAAAAATAGATAATTTATCTATAATAATAATACTATAATAATTATCTATAGTAATAATACTTGCAAAGGAAACCAGTGAAAATTTTAACACAGTACAAGCCGCAGTTGAAGTCGAGCATTCAGAAACAAAAATCCGGAATCGAACAATTCTACTGCAGACTCCACACTGATCTATAACAAATAACTTGACCTTTTTTTTTTTTTTTTTAAATTAATTACTAGATAGGTTTTCAATAATGTATAGTATGCATCGCATACATTAGTAATGAAAAAGAAGTAATGCATGCTTAACATATTCTTTATACGAGCTTAATTAGTGAATGAAAGTAAATATAGTAAAAATTCCAAAATTTAGCAATAAGCAGTAAAAATTTCAATAAACCAATAACAGGTATGACTGGAATTTATAAAATCAAAATTTGGCAAGATACCAGTTTATGCGAGATGATCGATCTATAGCATATTAAAAAAAAAAATTCCTAAAATACATTTTAAATTTTCGTTAAAATATTTGGGAAAACAAATGTATACATTTGCTCTCCAGATCAAGTTAACTTTTTTTATCCAATTGAAACTCCACATACTCAAAACCAAATATGCATTCTTAAGAATATTTCATATTTTTAGATTATTATTAACTGATTTTCATAATCATGAAAAGCATGAATTATATATACAAAACGATACTCAGGATTAGGATTGATTTGACAGTAGTAAGACTTACCTGGAAGTCAGACAGACCCTATAATCAATATGAGATTTCAAAACTCATCAATTAGAAATAAATATCCATGTTTCAGTCATTAGGTGAACAATAATTCCAAAAGATACAATATAAAACACTCTCGAGTGTAAATAAACAACCGGCGTCAGTTCTGTCACACTCACAACATCAACAATCCAATAACAAGTCACGCAAAATTCTGAACAACTGTCAAAATGAGTAAAACGGATGCATTTTCATTTTTCAGTGAGATTGGTGCTCTTGTAAAAGCGATGTAGGCAATGCGCACAAATCGTTTCGATGTATTCAATTCATTTCGTATCATCTGATACCCCTTTCCAGCATTTTATGAACAACAATCGTTTAAAACTCTATGACCTGCATCTATTGAAATTTTTCAGTCTACAACACTTTCAGAAGAATAACCAATAAAATGATTGGATATGCTGCCATCTAGGAGTTTCTTAATAAACAAAAATGATCGAATATGCTGCCATCTAGTAGTTTTTTCATAAACAAAATAACAATTTGTTTGTAAAATTAAACTTTTTTTTTCCTAACATTTTCTCAAAAAATGAAACAAATAATAAGCTTAAGTAAACTAATAAACTTTTTGCTAAAGGATTATTAGTACCAACGTTGATTAAAGGAGCGTATTTTTTTTCCTGAAGTGCATAAATACATTATTCCTTTTCATCCTTTTTTTTTTTTCAGAAATCATAGTCTTGTAAAACTTTTTTTTTTTTTATTATTTTAAAATTAAAAATAATTCTTTTATATCTATCCTATATTATTACTGAAATAAGAGAGAATGTAAAAAACAATACTATCCTCTCTCCTAGTTAGNCCCCCCCCCCCCCCCCCAACAAAAAACGGGAATAATTTTCTAACTTATAACTCTCAATCGAAATTTAATTGCTTTTGCTAAGACACCAAGTTCAAGACACAGAGGAGAAAATTATAACAATAAATTAATAGATTAATTAATTAGCTAACTTTAAGTTTGAATTAATATATATATATAAAGATAAAAATGATAAAAGAAAAAAAAATTAACTAAAATATAAAGAGATATATGAATTTTACTTACTGCGCATAAGCTTCAAGTACATAGAACTTATAAAATATGTTAAAAATATAGAGAAAACGAGGAAAAAAAGATTTTTGAAGGAGAAAAAAAAATTATAAAATTATGTTTTTAAGAAATATTCACAAATTTAAAAAAAAAATTAATTTAAAAACAATAAAAAAGTAAGGAAAAGATGTCATCTTGTCATCAGCTTACACGATTATATCCGAAAAAATTGTGCTTTATAATATTGTATTAATGTAGCCAAAGCAAAACATATCAATAAAATAGTGTGATTAGCACCAAAAAGTTGAAACGAAAATAGAAATTACTAAGCAAAAAAGGTAAAATAAAAATAATAAAAATTCATTCACAAAATAAAGCAATCAAACAAAAATAGAAAATAAAAATTCAAGACATACACAATAAAACTCAAAATGTAATATATTAAGGGAGTAACGAATCCTAATGTATACTTAACTTACAGGCATTTTCAAATTATCTTTTTATTTTTATTTGGTGAAATTTTACTCATTTCGGGTTTTATAAGATCGAAACAAAGAATTTTGAAGTAAAAATTAGTAAAAGAAAAGCTTATCTTGTAAATATCATTATCTTCAGGGGAGAAAACAAAATCTTTTATTGGTTTAATATTGTAATGTCCACATTAAAATATTTTTCCTGATTAGAAATAAAATTTACATTTAATTTGTCACTATTAAGAGAGTTTTTATTTAAGTACCTTCCAACATACAAAGATTAAATTTAATAACTCCCAACCCTCAACTTTTTACTTTAAATATAAGTGTACAAATTGAAGTAAACGGAGATCGGGAAATAATAAAAACTCTCTTAATAGTTTATCCCATATGGCAAAATAGTTTTGTGTAAAAGCATGTAATAATTATTTTTTTTTTATAGTTTTAAATCAATGTTTTCTACTATATCTAAAACATTGATTTTAACACATTTAAAATTATGCACTCTATAATGCATAAATGCTTTATTTTTAATAACATTTTTTTTTAAATTTGTGAATGTTTTTTAAAAACACTTTTTAACAATTTTTTACTTCTCCTTTAAAAAATTTTACATCGTTTTTCTTGTTTTCTTCATATTTACATTTTTCACCACCTTTCAGGGGGGCAGTTAAATTTTAAAAACTTTTTTGGTGGAGAATATTTTTTCAGGCAAATTTATTGTGTCATCAATGCACAACTTTACAATCACATGAAGTAAGAAATAAGAGAAACGCATTTAAAACTAGGGGTTTAATTTTGGGGGAAAGGGGAATTTGTTTGGGAGGTCGGATGGATTTGAAAAATCTTTTTATTTTATTTATTTTTTATTTTTTGGTGTAATCAAAATCTGTCTTATAAGCAAAGCACATTTATAACCAGTGGATTGGTTGAGCTAAAATATTAATTCTGATCGAGTCTTTTTTTTTTAAAAAAAAAAACCTTTTTGGTGCAGTTATAATTTGATCATTTTATTTTACACCTTTATTATATTCAATATAATACGTTAGAATTCTCAAAAAAAATTAACTTTTTTTCATGTTGCAGATCCTGATTTCTTCTAACTGCAAAACTAACAAGTGAAGAAATAAATAAGGAATAAATGAATGAATTTCTAAGAAATGAATTTGAAGCACTTTACAAATATATTACCGGGTTAAGACTTTCAATTTTACGACGTGTAGTCTACGAGAGAAATTGGTAGGTAGGTAGAACAGGTAGGTCTGGGAAACATCCCTGAGGATGATCCGAAGACAGACGCGCCATCGCAATTTTGATCCTCTGCAGAAGGGATGGCTCCCTTGCGTTTATAGCCCAACGATCTGCGTGCGAAGTCGAGCCCTTTACGGTAGAACAATTTAGCTATAACTGATATCGCGCATCCTCGGTCCCTATGCAGGCTGATCAAAGTGGTCACCCACTAGCTTACTAACCGCAGCCAGTGATGCTTGACTTCGGTGTTCTATTGGGACGATCTTCGGGTTTCTTAAAGATCTGTCCACTACGGGACACAAGAAAATTTGAAAAGTAATGCCCACAATAATGAAGTAAAAGATCTTTATAGAATATAAAAGAAATTTATTCTGAATAAAATTAAGAGAGATGGAAGCAAGACAGAGATACCTGAGAATTTTGATAAGTCTTACATAACAACTTCACTTAATCAATTAGTTCCCTTGTTTACCAATAATTTTTTTTTGGGGGGGGGAGGGGATTTTTTGATTGTGAACAACATTAACTTTTACAAATTGTTATACCGAAAAAGCTTAACTTATAAAGAACAGTCTCCGTCATGCTTGAGAATTGATATTCTCACCGATAAACGAAAAATAACCCAGAAAAAAAGCACTAGAAATAACCTCAAAAAATTTAAAAAATAAAATAAAAATAATAGTGGAATAAAATTGAGACTTATTTTTTTAATTAGTACCTATTAATTAAATATCATTTTATTTAATGAAATCTTGATGAATTGGTTACACTTTATTTTAAAATAAATCAATATAGGGTAAACCAACCAGTGAAGGAACACTACCCAGTGAAGGAACATTTCAATTATATATTGATTAAAAATAAGAATTTGAAAGTTTTTCTTTAGATTGATTGGTAACAATAGCTTACTGCCAAACAATAGGAAGTTGGATTACCTGGTCACATAGACTTCTCTGAAAAAATTTTTAAATTTTTTATTATCTCTGCAACACCTTGTTCCTTTGAAAAAATTATAAGATTAGTGTTTGTATGTATATGTTTGAAGTGGAATTAATTGCATATAATACTTTTATTTTTCTCACTGTGAAAATAAGAATTCAAAATATAGTTATTGAAGTTGCGTTTTATTTTTTTTTTTTAAGCATCATAGCATAATCAAGTACTGAGATAAGGGGGTGCTTATTCACCAAACGATGAAAAACCAGTGAAGGAACAAGTGTTCCTTTACTGGGTTTTTTTTCTAAGTTAATGAAAATGAAAGAAAAACTTTAATTAACTTGTTCTTGTACCTTTAATGATGTTCTGCATCAAAAGTATGTCAAAAATACAAAAAACAACTTCTAACCAGTGAAGGAACAGGCATGTTCCTTTACTGGGCATAAATTTCCCAGTGAATGAACAGTATGTGTTAATATGTTGACACTTTAATTTTCAATTCATGAATACAAAAAAAAATTTACATTTTCCAAGTATTTGTATGTTATAATTTCAAGAATAGGCTTGTTATTAGATATTTGTATGGCATATAAATTCATAAAGAACATTAAAAAATAGTTCTTTCACTTGGTCTTCTTACTACTTGTTATTTGAACCTCCAAAACTTTAAAACAATATTATGTAAGTTCTCTATAATTTTTTTACATAATTTGCAATTAGTAGCAAATATGTTGACACTGTCATTTAACTAAAATTACGAATTTTGAAATTAGTATGATTTTTTAAAAGGCAAGCGAAGCTTAAGTGTTCCTTCACTGGTTAGTTCCTACAAGGATTAGTGTGAAGTGTGCGGAAAATAACTCTTCACAACTTTTTTTTTTTATATATAATCAATATTCTTTAATCATTCTATACTTATTATATAATCACGCCAGTCGTATTGTAATATAATCATGTAAAAATAATTCCTTTTCAAACAAGTGATCCTAAAAAAAGCATATCTTAATGAAATTTTTCATAATTTTTATGGATATTTTTAACTTATCATAAGATTAGCAATCCGAGAAAGTACTGGCAATTGATACAGATAATTCTTTAATATCATAGGAGATTTTAAAAAAATATATAGATAAATTTCAAAAATGCCTTTCCGTTCACTTTAAATTAACCCTTCTGTATAAATTAATTTTCTTTTTAATTATCGAGTTATATTTAAATAAATGTTTAATTGCGTTAAATTTGAGCTCAACGACCTGAAAGGAACAGATCGTTAAGTGGATTTAATTTTTTTTTTTTTTTTTTTTTAAACGAAAACAACGGATTACAGCTTTGGAAGTCAGTAATGCATTGCGATTTTTAAAAAACTTTTTTTTCTTTTTCCTTTTATTTATTTCTTCTTTCTTTACAATGTTAATCTTGTGTTGTTAAGTAATGTTTTACCATATATTTCCATCTGTGAAATTACGTAAGAGAGATAAGATATATCTTATCAGATATAATTAAAACTTTTATTTATTTTTTATTTTCCTTCCTCACTATGTAAATTTTGTGATCTGAAAGTAATAATTTACCATATATTTCTATTTGTGAAATTACTTACGAGAGATAAGATATATATTATCAGATATAATTAAAACTTTTTTTCATTTTTTATTTTCCTTCCTCACCATGTAAATTTCGTGTTCTGAA